TACCAGGTGTATAACTTAATAATGGGGATTTTTAAAAAAATAAAAACACAGCATTTTAAATAGAAATACAAAAAGCGTTTATTCAAAATAATTACCATTTGAATTTATACATTTCTCCCATCTTAATGGCAAGTTATGGATACCTTTCCAAAAAAATTTTTCTTCTTTCGCAGCAAACCATTCCGATAGCCATTTTTCTACGTCTTCGTAAGATTTAAAGTGCTGTTCAGCCAAAGCGTGTGCCATCGAAGAAAATAAATGATAATCAGACGGGGCTAAGTCTGGTGAGTATGGCGGGTGCGCAAGAACTTCCCATCCAAGTTTTTTTGTGGTGTCCTTGACCAGTTTTGTGGTGTGAGATGGAGCGTTGTCGTGAAGCAGTATAACTTTGTCATGTCTCTTAGCCCATTCTGGTCGTTTATCGATCAGTGATTGATTTAAATTGATAAGTTGTTGTTTATACCGTTCTCCATTTACAGTTTCACCAGGCTTTAGAAGTTCGTGGTATAAAATACCCTTTTGGTCCCACCAAATACAAAGCATAGTTTTTTTTCCGTACCGATTTGGTCTTGGAATCGACTGGGCGGGTTGTCCTGGATTAACATACGACTTTTTTCGTTTCGGATTTTCGAAATAAATCCATTTCTCGTCTCCAGTGACTATGCGGTGCAAAAAAGATTTTTTTTCGTACCGAGAAAGCAGCGATAAACTTGTAACTTTCCTATTTTCCATTTGCCGTTCGTTGAGGTTATGTGGAACCCATTTTCCCGCTTTTAAAATCTTTCCCATCATATTTAAGCGTTTGGAAATTGCTGCTTGAGTTACTTGAAGTCTCTCCGCAAGTTGTTTCTGCGTTTGGCAGGGATCTTCATCAAGTAACTCTTCCAATTCACTATCTTGGAATTTTTTCGGCTGCCCCGGACGCTCTTTGTCTGACACATCGAAATCGCCAACTTTGAAGCGATTAAACCAGCGCTCACAAGTATTCTGGGATAAACAATGCTCTCCGTAAACTCCTTGAAGTATACGGTAACTTTCAGCAGCACTTTTTTTTAAGAGAAAGTAATGTAACAAAACCTCCCGCAAATGCTCTTTTTTTGGAACAAATTCCGACATTTTAACACGTAAAAAAAAATGATATAAGCGCTTTCAAAAAGTACGACTTTCACTACTTTAAAGGGTTATGTCGATAAAAAAAATTGCTCACATATCAAGCCACGTGCTCTATTATATGAGTGTAACGCCATCTGTTGAAAAATATCCCCATTATTAAGTTATACACCTGGTAATATAATATCTTCATTAATGTATCTTTGTATTTTTCTGAATGTTCTATCGTATTAAATGGGTAACATGCCAATATTATCACATGTAACAATTTAATGTATCAACGATTTTTTGTTCCAATGTGCACCGTATCAAAAATTCTTGGGAAAAGCCCTTTTATTAGTCGCACATACTTAACTATTTACCGTTCTTAGTTCTTGAAAGGATTTCAGTCTACGTACGTTAGCTATAATTAATCACAAGTAAAAAAATTTTTTATTATTAGGATGAACTGTGTACAAATGATCTAATGAGTGAAACGATTTTAAATTCAGATGTTCTTCAACTGGTTTGTTCTGTTAACGTTGTTGAAAATTTTCTTTAGTGCGTTCCATATATATAATTTTGTCACTTTTGAATAAAATAACGTTCTTACGTTATAGTTATAGTTTTCAACGTGTAACTACATGAATAGATATTTTAAATATACTTATGTGTGTAGAATTACAATCTTGATTAAGAAATATTGATATATGTAGATATTCTTATTGTAGTTGCAGTATTGTGCTTTAATTAATATCTGATTTGATTGCCTTATAAAACAATTCGATAGGTCGAGAATAACTTAAGGACTAATGTACATTGAGTTAAATTATTTTAATACATAAAGTGGGTGGGTGCAATTCGCATTGAAGTACATATACCTCGTCTAAATAATCAGAATTTTGGTGCAAAATTTAAAAAATGTTAGTATAAATAATGATAGGTCATATAAGTTATTAAATACATTAATTTATTTGTTAAGTTGGCAGTCATATTAACTATTTTTAAATTTTAACACACTTTATGATGTCGATTTCATAATATGAAGCATAACTAAGAAATAAAACAACTTAAAATATCATGGGGTGCTTGAACAATTTAAAATGAAATATTATGCATTTTTATTTTATTACACTAATACAATAATAGATGATTTTTTTAAGACTACCCACTCGATTTTTCTTAAGATGATAAAATTTCTTAAAAAATTATTTTTTAATTTTATATATATCTCGATTTATTAATAAGAACTTTTTTAATTCATCCATAATACCTCATAAGAGTGTCACTCATGTATACAGTGTATTTAACTAAAAAAGATTTGTAATCTTGAAGTATCGTGGAATGAAATCGGTCCAGTAAAAGTTGAGAAAAAATGAGCAAAGATTTAAAAAAAACATCATTATGATGCGTTTTTTTAAGTCTGTGTTGCGGCGAGTTATATGTGGTCGCGTCAACTTACAACCAAAATGGAACCGGTTACATATAATAAGNATTATGATGCGTTTTTTTAAGTCTGTGTTGCGGCGAGTTATATGTGGTCGCGTCAACTTACAACCAAAATGGAACCGGTTACATATAATAAGTGGGGATGCCTTTCGCTGCCCGGTAAGTCGTCGCCTTATCTAGTCAGTCAGCCATTGTACGGTCTAGTTGATTAGACCCATCGGCGCCGCCACGAGTTTTTCCGCGACTTTGCGGTGTTGTCACGTAAATGTGAATTCGGTGGATTTACCATGATCAATATAATTGAGTTCGTGTCTTGTTTCATTCAAAAGGTTGAAGTTGTTTGAGTATATTATTATTGTTATAATCCGATCATTGATGTTCTGCCCAGGTCAGATTACTGAATTCTACAACACTTAAATCTTATATTTGTACTCATTTTATTGCAGTGTACTATTTATTTGTTATTATTAATGTAAGTGGGGACGCCCAACTATAAAGTTTACTATTAATTACACTAATATTGTTATTATAGACAAATTCCTTTTGAGTTTCTTTATTTACTAAGTTTTTGGGGTTGGGTTGCCTGTAGACGAACAGTCTGTGTTCATTATTTCTCAGCTTCACATTGAAGCTAAAAGTCAACAAAATGATTTTTAGTATTTAGTCCCTCAAGTTGAAATTCCCTGAGTACATCATTCATTTTTCGAGATGGTATGCATTTTAATTTTAAAAATTCTAATTTTTTTTATTATTACTTTTCAGACAAATGTCAGGTAAACTCACAAGAATTATTTAAAATGATATTAGCAGATCATTTGAAAGTAAATACGTATGTATCTAAACTAAAATTTATTTAATATCGTTAACAGGATTAAAAATCAATTGAATTTTTTACAAAAGTATTCATTGTAAAATTAGCGAATTAATATATAATAAAAATTGATCATTGGTGGCTAATATTATTTAAAATTAAATCTATAGCAAAAATTAAATTTAAAACTAAAAAAAAACACATATTATACGCGTTTAACGTTGATAATTATAATATTGTTTCCAGAATACGTATTTGCGATTTTTTAATAATTTTTTTGTGGCTTTTTGAGTTTAATAATTTTTAGTTTTAAATCAATTACATCAATATAGTTTTAATTTTAAATAGCGAATTAATAAATTATTAGAAGTAAAAATGGCTAATAAATTAGACATTTTTAATAGTAATTTTTATTTTCTAAACTAATTATATATTTTTTAAGTTTTTTAATCGTTGAAAATTTTTTTCTAGTACTTTAAAGAATTTTTTTGAATTTATAAAACCTATTATTATCGTTCACTTAGGATTAGTGTTTCAAATATTTGTGATGTTGGTAATGAAGTTGGTTCTGGAATCTTATTTTAAAGTATTTATGAAAAACGTATTAAAATTTTTATTCAAAGGAATTAAATATTCTATTATTTTATTCAGGATAACAATTCATCAGGAAATTTGCCAATAATATTAGTACTTTGTGGGGTTTTGGCCTTTGGGACGTGTTTCAATTTATTTTTGAATACTTATATTTTTGAACTTGTGGAATCCCAAGTAGTATTTTGAATTTTGTTTTTTTATTTATTTTAATATAGTAAATAAGACTCCATATAATCTTTTCTGTAATTTATTACAGCCTTCTAGTTTTTTTTTATGTTTGTATAATAAGTGGATTAGAGGGTAATATTCCCAGGAATAATTTTTTGTGGGTGGTATGTAAGGAAAAGTTACCTTTTCTTCTGCACTTATTTTTTGGATAGTATTAAGAAAATATATGTATTAAAAAAAAAATTATACATATAATTTTCTAAAATGATATATTTAAAAGTATGGGAATGACGTTCAAGTATGTCTATGCAACTTGTTTTGGAGTTATTTCAAAAATTAAAACTCATTAGAAGATGTTATCTTAATATCTGGTATAACTATTTTTTATATAGACTATTTATAACAAGATGAGGACATAGCTTGAATTTACGAGGGAGGAATCAATGTAGAGTAAAATAATACATTGTACTTTTCCACGAAACAAATTTAATTAAGCCCCTTCAAAATTAAAAAAATTAAGAAATAGTTCCACTAAAATGTATTACTAAACCCGTTTCATTAACATAAGATATCTTTTTAAGATAAGAATTGAATGTATGGTGTCTTTATTTTAAATTTTTAGTATACCTATTAGTATAACATTACCAAAGAATGAAAGTTTTTCAAAAAAAGTTTAACTTTGAAATGTTAATGGATAATCATCTTTTTTTTATATATACGAAAAAAAAAAATTCGATGAAAATTTAGAGTTAAAAAAAGATTTTAGAGGTTACTTACGGTTTTTAAATAAAATTCGATAAATTCGTAAAAAATATATTGTTATAAAATAGTAATAGTTAACTCATTTATTTAAAATTAATGTTATATTAATTCTGTGGTGCAACCAGAGGTGGGATTAGGGGTTGTTTAACATGGTAAAAATTAATTAAAAAACAATAGTAATTTATCACAACAATAGAAAATAAAATTTGACTTATGTTGACTTGTTTACTAAACACGTAGTTTATTTAGTATAGAGGTTTCTAAAATTAATTGTCAGGTGATTTTTCCTCAGTGGTGAGCCAAGGAATCCATATTTGTAGTGTTTGTTAATTTTTGATCAAGGTCTTCGATAAAAACGGAGGATCATTCGCTTGTCACTTTAAGAATAATTTTTTTATTAGTTGAATACCTCGGAAGCATCGTGGATAATTTCAGAGGTATGCTGTATTTTTTAAAAATAGGAAAGAAGTGCTGAAAAAGTCTTATTTCTGCGTATTACCTTTTTGTACATTTAAGTGTATTAAATTTTAAAGTTATATTATATATGTGTCTAACTATTTTTCTTTATATTATTTTAAGTAAAATTATGAAGGTTTGGTCTTAAATAGGTGTTTAAAAGGTTATTGTTTTAAAAATTATATTTTATTCAAAAAATCCATTTGTTGGCGCCTCGTACCTGTTTTGAATTTTAATTGTTTGGTGACATGTTGAGGTGAGTAGGCAGCACCATCGTCCTAGCCGCCAGTTGTCATTATCAGCCGGTTTTTCGACTGGCCGTTGTATTTGAGTTGTTAAAAAAGACATATAATAATTCAAGAATAGTTGTGGTGTGTTACAAATTTATTCAATACAGTTTATCCGTGTGGTTTTCTGATTTTCTTTGATTCTGTTATATTTTTATATAATTTGCATTTCAACATTTTAGTTGTTTTTATTATTTTCGTGAATTTATGAATGTTATTCATATTAAATTGTTCAAAAGAATTATTGTTCATTTTAGTTTTGAAATAATATTTGTTTGAACGCAGCGCCCGGTGATATTCACGCGGGTTCGTGGTTTTGTTTTGTCTTAAATTTTTAGGTATGTCAAGGATAAAGAATAAGGTGAATGGACTGTATGCTTGATTGTAGAATAAATTTCACAAGATATAATTATAACAATTAAATGTATTATACAAGAAATATAAAATCTTCTATACACCAATGTGGATGGGGGGACACTTAATACTAATGCCACTAAGGCGATGATATAAACAAATAATAAATTATACAAGTGAGTGTTAGAAAGATAAATGAACAAGCATTATACTTATCTGCTAAATGAAACGGCTGATGATAATGTTGAATATTGAAAGGATCAATTGAAGTCGAATGCAAGTAACTGACCAAAGTGAACAATATGCTGTCAACGGTATTGTGATGTATCTCAGAAAATATATAGACCCAACGGCGATAAACTGAGCGCACAGGGTACGACAATCGCAAAGGTGATATTTTCTTTTTACAGTAAAACGAATACAAAACTACTGGCTCGCAAACGCCATAGAGCTTATAACAGAAGAAGCGTTAAGATGGCTGCGACAATGGTAACATAGAGAGAAAACCGACAACAACTCGATTTAATACAATGATAACATGAATAATCAAAAACACATTTTCTTGACAGCATATTCGATCGATGTGTATCCAACAATATTATTTAAGTTTATTATGATTCCTAGACACAAGTTATGGGACATTCCGTTGGAGTTAATGTTCTGATTGTGTTGGAATGATTTGGCAACAGTCTGAGTTTTATTAGTTGTGTATTTGGTTGTTTTTTTGGTCGTTTACGACTTCAGTAATATTCTGGCTCGTGCTCTCAGGTGGTCGGATTGTTTAGTATTAAGTTATTTTATTGTATAATTACGGATCCCAGAAGTGCATCATGTAGGAGAAACCAGCCATACAAGCTATAAGATTTAAAAAAAATAGAAATTTTTATTAAATAAATTCAATAAAGTTGTAATATAAACCACTTTTGTAATTAACATAATGATATCATAGTGTGGAAGTGGCATAGATGGGACAATTATAGATGATATCTGACAGTGATTAGAATCACTATTATAAGTAACGCTTTGATGCAAATTTGTAGATAGTGTTTAATTTTAAGAAATTGGTGGATTATACCAAAAGAAAATCGAATTCCTATTTCCTTCATTATTCCTGATTAGTAGTTCTTTGATTTAGAAGTATAATATATGAATAAATATTTATTATCTTATTATATAGTAGAACAAGGAAAAAAACGCTTTTCTGGTAAAATTACTTAGTATTAATTAAATTAATTAAGTACTCGGTCACCAGACTCCGAGAAAATTATTGGCCAAGGTCCTCTCTTAGTCAAGTAGTTTATATTGACTTATTGGTCTGTAGTATTTTCCTTCATAGTAGTTAGTACGGTTAAGTTTAAATATAACACCACCTTGCCCTTTCGCCAGTTTTCGAGTTGATAACAGTAGGCTAGACATGCTATAATATGTTGCAGAGATGGGGGTCAATTAAATCTAGCCTCTTGTAAAAGTGCAGGAAATATTTCGTCACATCCTGCAGCTTTAAAACTGTCAAAAGCATTTAATGTCTATTTTATGCCACTGGGGGTTATAACTTTCCTTGTTAGCTGCTATTCGGCATGAGTCACACGTTTGTCCTGTATTTCATGTAGCTGTTGTCTGTTATAAATTTCAGAGCTAGGAAAGATATGTTCAACAAATGCGGTAATATCTCATCATCATAGTTTGTAAATGTATCGTCTGGTATTAGTGCTTCAACGATTTTGTTCAGTACATTTCTTAGTGAGCGTAGAAGTCTCTAAGAACTTTTACCTGCACTCTTGACTTTTTCCATGCGGATTTGTATTTTCTTTGAGAGACTCTATAAGACTTCTAATGTTCTAAACCTGATTTCATTGATTTGTTTTAGAGTTTACAAGAACTCTTTGTTAATTTTGATAGATTAGCGTACCCTGAGTCTCATTACTCTTTTAAATTACGACTTAGTTATACTCAGACATACACCTTGGTAGTGTTCAAGGAAGTAAGACTGTAACCTGTAACATAGTTAAAGTTATTGTCTTTACGAAACAGTAAAAAGTAATGTTGTGATAGATTGTAGAACTAAAACTTTACTTCCAAATATAATTTCTTAAATAATAATTTTTTTATCATTTTTTTGTAAATAAATTAATATTAGCTACTTTAACTTTGAAAAAAAAAAAGAATTATAATCACTTCTAAAAAATACTGATTGGGTCACTGCATTAATTTGTATTAGGAAGTATGTTTATAGTTGTTTATGTTTATATGTATGTCCTATATTATGTAAATTTTATTTTTATAAATATAATACATTTAGAGAAATACCCATTAAAATTTTTTAAGTTGGACTTTTTTGCGCCACATTAAATAAATATTACTTGTTACAATTTATCGCAAACAGATAATTCAATTTTTTAATTAAATATCACTTGTGTTCATTCATTAGAAATGTTACTTAACTAAAGTTGACTTTATTTTATTTTATAAAATAAAACGATAAAAAAAAATATGTACCCCTAATTTTTTTAATTTAATTTCAGAAAAATGCAATGTGTTTCGCGATATATAGTTGCAATTGGACAGATAAAAATATTCAATTTAAAAAGTTATTATTATTGTCAATGAAAACGTGTACTGCTAACAATTTAGTAATGAGAATAACTCCAACAAAATACGTGAACTTGGCTTTGTTTGCTAGTGTATGTATTTAAATTAATATAAATATACCTAAAGAAATATGTATACATTTATTGTTACAAAAAAAAAAAATACAGTTTGTTCATGGATTATTACCTATATGCAATGATGTTAATATATCGTATTTTATTTTTATTTTTTATATAGTAGTATATTTTGTTATTTCTATGGCAAACATCTATAAAAATTTAAGAACTTGACGCAAAAATTTTGAGAAAATAATTTAAAATAATATGGTCTAAATAATAAGGAAATTTATCAGAAACAAAAATATACTTTTTCTAAAACAATTTTTTCGCCAATTTCAAATTTTGCAGTTAGATTTTTCCTATGACTTCTAATTTTTGAGATTATTACTAATTTATAAAAAACGAATATTTACAAATAAATCGACATTAATGAAATTTAATGACACATCAGCAATCATAAGTGAAACTATACCCGGAATATTTCTGAATATTAGTATATTATAGAATACATCTATACAGAATAGTTCTGAATATTTCAATTGTAGCATCTATTTAAAAACCAAGTATTTCATAAAAATGACAACTATGTTTCTTGTTAAAATGATTTATTTCGATATTAATACAAAAAAGTTATTATAAATTTAAGTAATAATAACAACTTAAAAAAACCCAGCACACGGGGGTCGCGGCACAGTGGTGACGTGGCATAGTTGGATCANCACAGGGGGGTCGCGGCACAGTGGTGACGTGGCATAGTTGGATCAAGTATAATGATATCTGACAGTGATATTAAAATCACTATAAAAAAAACGCTTCCATGAAAATCTTTAGATAGTGTTTAATTTTAAAAAATTGGTGGATTATTCCAAAAGCTACACGATCTGCTAGTTTATTATTATCCTGATTAAGATAAAGTATGTCGAAGGAAAAAGGGATTATTAAAAAATATTATTTCTCATTAAAAAATTATGTTGATCCATACACTTTTCAATAAATNTCTCATAAAAAAATAATGTTGATCCATACACTTTTCAATATGTCATAGCATTATAAAGTTAAAAATGTAAAAAATAAAATCGAGAATTTTCACACAATAATAGCATTCGGTAGCTTTTTTCACCGTGAAGATAAAATAAAGTCCGAAAATTTTTTTTTACATAATAAAGTAGATTACATTAGCTTTAATTTAAGATATATATAAAAGTGTCAGACTTTCCGGAACACTTTCAAAATTTAAGTTGAAAAAGTAAATTTTTTGTGAAAAAGTTGTCATTTTGAATCTCCCCCTGAAGGTAGGTAAAAAGTCAGATTTATAAAAAAAATATACCAAATGATAGATAAAGACATCATGCATCTATAAAAAAAAGAATTATATTGATCCATACATCTTTCAAAAAGTTATAGTATTATAAAGTTAAAAATATAAAAAAGAATTTTTTTACAAAAANAAGTTATAGCATTATAAAGTTAAAAATATAAAAAAGAATTTTTTTACAAAAATCGTATTTTTTTTATTAAGTTTAATGTCTGTTTTCACCATGAAGATAAAATAAAGTCCGAAATTTTTTTTTACCATAATAAAGTATATTACATTAGCTTTAATTTATGATATATATAAAAGTGTCAGACTTTCCGGAACACTTTCAAAAATTTAGTTGAAAAAGTTCTACTTTCTATATGCATTTTTTAGATTTAAACCCCCCCGTATATAGGGAAATGGTCCGATTTAAAAAAACAGTATGTCGAATGAAAGATGTATATAAATACTACTTCTCATGAAAAAATTGTATTGATTCATACACTTTTCAATAAATTATAGCATAATAAAGTTAAAAATGGAAAATACAAAATCGAAAATTTTCACACAAAAATAGCATTCGGTAGCCATTTTCACCATGAAGATAAGATAAAGTCCGAAATTTTTTTTTTGCATAATAAAGAATATTACATTAGCATTAATTTATGATATATATAAAAGTGTCAGACCTTCCGGAACATTTTCAAAAGTTAATTTTTTTAAAAAAAGTTGTCATTTTAAATCCCCCTTTGTGGGCAGGTTAAGGGTTAAATTTAATGAAAAAATATACCAAATGAAAGGTAATGATATTATGCATCTATATAAAAAAGAATTATATTGATATGTTCATTTTTGAAAAAGTTATGGCACTTTTAAGTAAAAAAAATTGAAAAAATTTCGAAAATTAGCGATTTTTAAATTTGTAATTTTTTTGGAGGTTTCCCCCTTTTACGGGGAACGAGGGAATTTTTTTCAATTTTTAAGGGTAATGTCTTCGACTAGATACGATTTGTGATCTTTTGACGTATCATTGAAAGAAATCGGTTCGGTGAGAGCTGAGAAAAAGTGGTAACAGACACAAAAAAAAAAAAACACATCTAAGTAAAACCAATACCTTCTCAGCTTCGCATCGAAGCTAAAATTAATTTTTTGTGAAAAAGTTGTCATTTTCAATTCTCCCCTGTGGGCAGGTGAAGGGTCAAATTTACAAAAAAAATATATCAAACAATGGTTAAAAACATCAAGCATCTATATAAAAAAAAATTTATTAATATGTTCAATTTTGAAAAGTTACGGCAGTTTTTAGTAAAAAAAATGGAAAAAATTTTGAAAATTAGCGATTTTAAAATTTGTAATTTTTTTGGAGGTTTCCCCCTTTTACGGGGAACGAGGGAATTTTTTTCAATTTTTAAGGGTAATGTCTTCGACTAGATACGATTTGTGATCTTTTGACGTATCATTGAAAGAAATCGGTTCGGTGAGAGCTGAGAAAAAGTGGTAACAGACACAAAAAAAAAAAAACACATCTAAGTAAAACCAATACCTTCTCAGCTTCGCATCGAAGCTAAAATTAATTTTTTGTGAAAAAGTTGTCATTTTCAATTCTCCCCTGTGGGCAGGTGAAGGGTCAAATTTACAAAAAAAATATATCAAATAATGGTTAAAAACATCAAGCATCTATATAAAAAAAAATTTATTAATATGTTCAATTTTGAAAAAGTTACGGCAGTTTTTAGTAAAAAAATTGAAAAAATTTCGAAATTTAGCGATTTTTAAATTTGTAATTTTTTTGGAGGTTTCTCCCATTTACGGGGAACGAGGGAATTTTTTTCAATTTTTGAGGGTAATGTCTTCGACTGGATACGATTTGTGATCTTTTGACGTATTATTGAAAGAAATCGGTTAGGTGAGAGCTGAGAAAAAGTGGTAACAGACACAAAAAAAAAAAAACACATCTAAGTAAAACCAATACCTTCTCAGCTTCGCATCGAAGCTAAAATCATGATGTTAACACCAAAATAATATTTTTGTTTAACATCGGGAACCGTTTTCTCATAGAAAACAATTTGTAGGGACATTTCTTCTTCTTTTAGTATATAACATAAGCTTTAATTAAACATATGTTTAAGGCTCGAAGAATTTCTGTAATATTTTCAAAAGTTAAGTTGAAAAAGTTCTATATTCATATGTTATAAAAAGCTTGTATGTTTCAAGTTTTGTATAAAGGGAAATTGTCCGACTTAAAAAAAGTATACTGGATAAAATGGGTATATATAACGTTAAAAAAAAAAAATTAACTTACTATATACATTTTTTAAAAGTTATAGAAATATAAAGTCAAAAAAATAAAATAGTCCATTTTTTGAGGAAGTAGACATTATTACCATGTATCCTTACGTATTTGAAAATTAAAAAATTGCCATAATTTTCACATTATTTATAACTACATTTTTTGGGGTAGATGTGTTCTTTATTTAATCTTAATTTAGTATCATCAAAATATACCTTTGATAAAAAAAATTTTATCTTGTTTTTGTAGAAAATCTTTTAGTTAAGAAACAACTACCACTATAAATAATAAAATAATAGTTATAAAAAAAATGATTTATAACAAATATTTTTTGAAATCTAAGGAAAATAGTATAAATCCATTTCAAATATCAATCCTCAATACTTTTTATATAGAAATAATTCTATTAAACTTCATCAAATCAAAGTTTGAAAATAATTTAAACATTTTAGGAAATAAATTTGAAAACTTTGTTTTAAAATTGATCCTATAATATATAAAAATGAATTTTATTTTAAAAATCTAGTTTGAATACATAGTCATTTGAGAAACAAATAAAAAATAATTAATAGAAAATTTATATATATATAATTACATGACACTCAAAAATACATATGAAGAACTTTCTTTGAAATTAAAAGCTATTTAACAAATAAAAACAAAATATACATATCTTACAATATTATAACTTAACACCTAAGTTTGTAACAAATACTATTTAGATAATTAAAGAATAAAATCTAATTTTCTTTTTTTGTCATTAGCAAATCTATCAATGATATTTTTGATATTATTATGAATATTAATATTTTTGTGAATATACAACAAAGCAAGACCTGTTAATCAATCATCACTTATTTTGAACCTTAACCATGTTTTAAGCAATCGTTAAAATTTAAAATAAAAAATATATGTAGCGTGTTCTATAAATAACACGATTGTATGTCAGTACATATATATATATATTCTATTATTGATGTTATTTCGATAAAGCAATGGGTGTTCCTACACAATTCGCATGCACTTATTATTTTTATTTATTTAGATTTTTAGATACGAAGTCCTAATTAAAGGTATTTTAATTTAATCAGTAAGCCAGTAGCTGAGGAGGGGGCGCGCGCCCCTTGTGCCCCTACCCTGGATCCGCCACTGATACAAATTTAACTATATAATTTACATCTCTGTTTGAAAGATAAAATGTTATGTCTATTCATTTTTGTTTTTTTCGTGCCTATCTAAGTCAGTAAGTTCATTCTACAAGGATATCACAGGAATTGTCCTCCTCAAGAAAATTAGTGTTTCGATATTATCTAAAACCTAAAAATTCGGCAGGGGAAAAAACTGGACCACATAGTCTCCTTCAAAATGAAATTGTGATTCCTGGTTTAGCGGAATCAATGTTATTTCAATATGCAGTTTACATATTATTTGACTAGGAATTTTTGGTTTTTTAAAATGTTACCATTTTCGAATGGACGACACCTTTCTAACAAAAACCGTCCTTATAGTTAAGGACATTACTCAAAAATACATTTGTGGCGGATGTAGATAAGAATGTATATGGTAGTATTATAATTTTCTTCACTATATTTTTATGTATGAACAAAAATAGGTTGTCTAACAAAACAATAACTTTTCTTTTAGAATATTGCGATATATAAGATAAACATTTTTGAAGTTTTAGAAATCTAACTCTCTTTCTTATAAATATTTATCATTAATTTTTAATAATAGAAACCATTTTCTTATTACAGATGATGAATTTATCATACTCAATCGTATCTCTTTTGGTGAAGATGCTAAATTAGAAATTAGAAATAATTTGAAACATTTACTGATTAAAAATAATGTATATCATTATATAATAACGCTGCTTATTGAGTTATAATATTTACTAGTTATATTAGACAAAACAATATATGAGTAGAAATTACTTGAAATTACCATTAATAATTTATAATTTTTAAGTACTCTTGTAGCTAAAAATAATTAATTAAGTACAACCATTGTAATAGTATATTGTTAAATTTCTTTCAATTAAATTTAGTATTAATTAAGCGAATTTTAAATTACTCAGATTATTTAAGTATATATAGTTTTAATTATAGTCAATACATACCAAATTAACAGCAAGACATGGTTTCACGATTATTTCAAAAAAATTTTAAGATTATATGATTATCTTTTTAGGCTTTAAATGTAACAAAATAAAACATTTTAGTTATTGATATTTATATGATAAATGGTATTTATAAGTGTTTTAAATATCTACTAATTGTTACAAAATTGCCTAGTTTAAACCTATTTAATCCTACAATGGTTTTTTATAATATTAAATTCACATAAACAATGAACCACCAAGATTTGCAAATTAAAATAAACTCTCCAAAGTTTTATATGCAATCAAATTTAGATATTGTATAAAAATATACAAATTCAAACTCAATTATCATTAGTGGGTAACCGAATCATCTTTTATGTACATTACATATAATTTTTTTATATGAGAGTTTAAAGAAATAGTCAAATAATTTCCAAATTGGTGCAGCGTATACAATTTAATTGCAAAATTAAATTAAATTTTAGTAACGTCACTAATAAACGCTATAGCTGAATTAAAATGTATGTACCATAAAATCGGATGTAGTTTAGACCTTGTAATTTGAACTCGAGTATAAAATGGTTGAGACTAATGTCGCAGTAATATGTCCAAGAAATTAAACTTAAACAACAAATAGTACTTATGAGACTAATTATTCAGTATTACGTTCTACAATTGTAGTGTAGTGGGAACGACATTATAGATGACGTAAATGTGATAGAAATAATATATTCATTAGTTATCATTTCTTATCTTAAATATTCGTAAGAATACTTGTAATGAAATACACAAAAAGCATATACTTATATGCATATGTACTTTTACAGAATTTTTTTGTGGTTTATCATTCAGTTTTAAAATTAATATATTAGCCATAAAAAAATAGATTTAAAATGGTTCAAGCTTGGTATATGGAAAAAAACTGGACTGGTGATCAACGTGAAGAACATCATAAACAACCTCCAGAATTTATCGAATTAGATAAATTGTATAAATTGAGCGGAGTGGAATACTTCCAAGTATATATTTTAAAAAACATATTTTATTCAAAATTTTGTCTTTTAAAATGTCAAAATTAATTGAATAGAATTAAATCCACGTTATAGTAAAGTTTTGATATTTTTATGATTATCTCCTTGTTCATTAGATTAAAATCATATAAAAGCTAATATTATTTAAAGAATATTTTGCATATATATATTATTTATGATTCAATATTTTTACAGGTTAATCATTTGAACCCATCTAGTGATGAGAAATTAAAATCATTAAAAAGCAATAGGGGATACACTTATGAAGATGAAATTACTTGCTCTAAAGAATGTTTGCAAGATTATGAAAAAAAAGTAAAACTGTTTTATTATGTAATTGAAAAAATGTATGAATATTATTTTAATTAAATAATTGTTGTGTTTAGTTGAAAATTTTTTTTGAGGAGCATCTTCATACTGATGAAGAAATAAGATTAGTTTTAGAAGGTTCTGGATATTTTGATATTAGAGATACAAATGATGACTGGATTCGTATTAAAGTTGAACCTGGTGATCTATTAATTATACCTAAAGGAATTTATCATCGCTTTACATTGGATTCTAATGTAATAGACATTATATAAAAGTAAATTTTATTTGTTTTAACAAAGATTTGTATTAATATTTAGAATTTCATCAAAGCTAAACGTTATTTTATTGGAGAGCCTGTATGGACACCTTACAATAGACCCGCAGATGATATGGACTGTAGACAAGAATATTTAAATCTAATTAAATCCTTTTAACATTTTTACATTGCGATATTGTTATAGTATAATTATTATTTTATTTTAAGTATTTTCTAACAAATATTAGCTTGGTAGGTATGGAAATAAAATTTATATTTTAGTTAATATTGTAGAAAGTTATTATCATTTTAATGTAATAATAATTATTTATAGTTTAAAATAAACAGTTTTCTTGCAGTGTTTTATTATTAAGAATCATAAGTGTCAGTATAAAAATTTTAAAAGAAGTCGTATTGAACATGATTAATCATAAAAAAAAAAAAATGGACTTATTTAATTGATTGATTAAACTTTTTTTTTGATTGAAATTTAATTGCTAAACAATTCAATGGTTTAAGATGTTATTCTTATGCAATTAGCTGAACAGTTTGCAAAAAAATTATTATTAAGATTTATATTAAATGTCTATATTTATATATATATATATATATATATATATGTCTATATTGGTTTATATTGTTAATTTTTTTAAAGTTTAAAATTTAAAATTCAACTATAACTTTAAAATCATTTTTCAATATATAATATTTTATTATTGTTGTTTTTAATATTTTTCTAATTTATTATAATGAACTATGTAGATTTTTAAAATTTTTATTATGTGATTTTTGTTAACTAATATATTTTTGACATTTACATAATACATGAATTAGAAATAGAAATGAATGTTGAAGAAAGAAGAGGTAGAGGAAGACAAAAAAAGAGATGTAGGAATGTAATTGAATGTGATGTGAGCGTAGATGATGTGGGTGATCATGTCAAGTGGAAGTTTAGAATAAGGGTGCCGACCCCAAATAGTTGGCATTAAAGCGAGGAAAAAGAAGAAGACATAATATGTGAATGAATATTAATACTTATTACATATTAATATAATATGTAATAATACATTAGGCTATTATATTATGGTAGTTATGTATTATGGAAATATATAAATTAAAGTGCTCTATTTAATAAAAAATATGAAGTTCCGCCTATGACTAAATGAAGGAGTTTTTCAATAAGCGTTAAAACTTATTATTTTTTTCAAACTGCTTTATTGTTTGAATGATAAAATTATCTTTATAAATATATTCTAGAATAATTGTATGTGCAATATAGTGTTAAAACAATTAATTAAGAATATGCAAGTGTAGGTAACCTCTAACCTAAGATTTTAGTCATAAGGTTTATAGTGCTTTAGACGTCTGATATCTTCAAACTTGTTCAATTTTCGAACGGCTATTGTATTTATGTTGATGTTACCTTTTGTTTTATTTATTTATTCTGTAAAAGGCAAAATAAAGTCACGGCATATAATGTACCGATAAGCCGCTGCGATTATACAGAGAACAAAGTTAGTGCAACTCCACATTTGTATACCATATGTCCAAATTTGTATTATGTAGGCTATGTAAAGTATATGTTTGTTATTTAATGAGAGTTCGGAATGTTTCCTGAACAAAAAGTTAAAATTTTTCATTTTTAGTTTTATTTGTATATTTTTCTGACGTAGTGATGCATCCAAGTCAGACTTGAGTTGGTTGCATTGCAAAATACTTGGCCGAATCTTCACGTGAGATTATTTGTTGATTCAGCTTAATTAGCTTCTATTTATAGTCAAATATTGTAATGCGGTTGTTATATTTTGTTTCTATAGAGTAAACGGAACATAAGAATAAAAATAATGACGTATGTCGTTATTTAAATTTGAAGTCGTTTCATTTTATTACTTAGTAAAAAAAACTGTCACAGTAAGGTTTGAATGATTCGATTAAATTTAAATTTATAACAAGTAAATGCGAGAATTTGGTATTGACGATTATTATCTACTAGAATACTTAAGTACAGTTTAAAACTTCAATGTATTTTTAAACATTTTTTTTCATTTCCTACTTTTTTCGACACATAACACTTTTACTTTGACATGCTGTCATACTTAGCGATAGTCTTTTTTTTTTTATATAAATGTTATAATATTCTATTGACTAAGGTCCAAGGCATTTGTTCACTTTCCAATATATACACCTGAGCTAACCTACGCAAAATTACTGTCATGTTACGCATGTAAAAAATTTTGTATTTAACTTCTATTTTTTCTTGGGTACTATTCAGAAAATAATTCTAGTATTACAATGACTTAAAAAGAAAAATCGTATTTTACAATCATTCATTTTCGTCGTTTTTTTAAATGTTTAAATATATTTATTTATAAATTATCTAGTATGTTTTAAAAAATGTATATCACTTAACATAAGTTAAAATTTACTATAAAAGCTTTTATAATTTTTGTCGTACAAAATAAAAAAAATTGTCCTGTTAAACTAGTAATTATTTTTTTTTTTACAAGAGCGTTATTTGGGGAGTGTTAAAGTAGGTGGTTGTCCGCTATTAATTATACATTTAATAATTGCAAAATGTATGTTTTTCACCTTAATTTTATTTTATAGGATATATTTTATTTTGAAAAAAGTATATTCGATTAGTATAAAAAAACTATCATTAAACATTTTTTAATGTATAGTAAAATTTTATGTATATATGTATATTATTTTAATATAATATTTATTAAAATTAATTTAATTTAGTAGAAAATGAATAGAAAAAATTCAACATCTTAGATTCTAGAATAAGCAAGAAGTATTCATTTTCATAACAATACAAGAAAACTGGGAATCGTTAAGATTAATTAAATGTACTTATCTAAATGTTAACTTAATTGATTAAGTGTAGTATGTACATTTTTTTAAATTATGCCTTATATAAATAATGTAAAGACATTTGTATTCTAATTTGATTATTAATTGTGATAAAGATATTTTACGTTCTGTACAGTACTGTAAAGTGTTTAAATCGTGTTCTTTATTTAATGAAACAAGTCATTAAAAGTTGTTAATTATGAAATTATATATATAATAAAGTTTATTTAAGTTAGATATCCTGAAGCTAAGACATTATTATGATTTCTACACGCAAGATAGGAAGCTTAGATAAAAAAGTAACGCCAAGAACTGCTCCAAGAATACATTAGAGTTTTGACTTAAATAGAGAATGATAAGTTCAATTTTAAAGGTCATCGGTATAAAATTTATTTTGAACTTCTAGTACATAAAATAAGCTTTCTATTAGCATATATAAAAGATTCAGTATTCCCGGAACATTTTCAAAAGTTAAGTTGAAAAAGTTAGCCGAGGCGCTCAGGCGGATGACCATGCTCCGGTTGCGGACTCGCCTCTCGGAGAAAACGACGAGAGGCGAGTAGATCAGGTTCCTCATAGGACCCGATAGGCTGGACAGATGGGTGGACCGAACTCACGGTGAGATGATTTATCGTCTCACCCAAGTGATGTCCTACCACGGCTACTTTAACGAGTACTTGCACCGTATTCGTAAAGCAGCCGCGCCGACGTGCGACCACTGCTCGGATCGCCCTGGAGAGGCTGATAGCGCTCTGTACACCCTCTTCCGGTGCGAGGCGTGGGCCCAGGAGCGGGACTCTTTGAAGTCCCAACTAGGGTCCACGTTCCGAGTTGGGTTCATGGTGAACCTGATGTTGGTTAGGCGGGAAGCGTGGTTGCTCGCTCAGGCGTTCGCTGAATCCTAAGGCGCTGGTTTAGGCCGGTGCCTTAGGTTCTTATTTTTGTGTTTTATGTTTTGTTTTGTGAGTTATTTTGCAACCCTCCCTAACAGTTCCCACTCTGGAATCCGGCTAATGGGAGGGGCCCCCTCAGCTCTTGAATAATTTCGGGCTGATTCACGACGTGGTGGTTTGAATTATTAAGACGGTGTGGGCCGCCCTGAAGTAATGCCTAACAGCAGTTCCAGGGCGGTCCACAATAAGCTAGTCGTGGAAAAAAAAAAAGTTGAAAAAGTTCTAATTTTACACAAATTTTCAAGTTTTAAAAAAAGCTTTTCTTAACTTTGAAGAGACAAAATAAGTATAAATTTATATTTAATGAAAGTTAGATTCATGTAAATTTGCTATTTTGAATCCCTCCTTGTGGGTAGGTAATGAGTCAGAATTTCAAAAAAAAGATATAAAATAAAAGGGAAAGATCTCAGGTTTTTATTTTAAAAAAACCCAGCACAGGGGGGTCGCGGCACAGTAGTGACGTGGCATAGTTGGATCAAGTATAATGATATCTGACAGTGATTAAAATCACTATAAAAAAAAAACGCTTCGATGCAAATCTTTAGATAGTGTTTAATTTTAAAAAATTGGTGGATTATTCCAAAAGCTTCATAAACTGCTAGTTCCTTATTAATATCCTGATTAAGACAAAGTATGTAGAATAAAAAAGAGATTATTAGAAAATAGTATTTCCCATAAAAAAATTATATTGATCAATACACTTTTCAATAAGTTATAGCATTATAATGTTAAAAATGTAAAAAATAAAATTGAGAATTTTCACACAATAATAGCATTTGGTAGCCATTTTCACCTTGAAGATAAAATAAAGTCCGAAATTTTTTTTTTCCATGATAAAGTATATTACATTAGCTTTAATTTAAGATATATATAAAAGTGTCAGACTTTCCGGAACACTTTCAAAATTTAAGTTGAAAAAGTCAATTTTTTGTGAAAAAGTTGTCATTTTGAATCCCCCCCTGTAGGCAGGTAAAAAGTCAGATTTATAAAAAAAATATACCAAATGATAGGTAAAGACATCATGCATCTACAAAAAAAAGAATTATATTGATCCATACATCTTTCGAGAAGTTATAGCATTATAAAGTTAAAAATATAAAAAAGAATTTTTTTACAAAAATCGTATTTTTTTTATTAAGTTTAATGTCTGTTTTCACCATGAAGATAAAATAAAGTCCGAAATTTTTTTTTACCATTATAAAGTATATTACATTAGCTTTAATTTAAGATATATATAAAAGTGTCAGACCTTCCGGAACACTTTCAAAAGTTACGTTGAAAAAGTTCTACTTTCTATATGCATTTTTATGTTTTGAATCCCCCCTGTATTTAGGGAAATGGTCCGATTTAAAAAAACAGTATGTCGAATGAAAGATCTATATAAATACTACTTCTCATAAAAAAATTGTAATGATTCATACATTTTTCAAAAAGTTATAGCATAATAAAGTTAAAAATGGAAAATACAAAATCGAAAATTTTCACACAAAAATAGCATTCGGTAGCCATTTTCACCATGAAGATAAGATAAAGTCCGAAATTTTTTTTT